CGATGGCCACCCTAGTGGTGTTGAAGTATCTTGTCTTAGTCTTGATTTGTAATGATACTTTAAAATTTTTAACATTATTTCAAATAAAGTAACAGGCAATTGCCCACTGGAAATAAATAAGACCCAGTTGCTAAACATGGCACCCATACACTTTGATTGTAGGATATGGAGAAGTCAAGCTGGAACCAGGATGGGATCCTGGTCCCCGCTAACCAGCTCTCATGATGGCAGAGGGTGTTATACAGTCTGGGGCGAGGGTGTCGTCAACAACAGTCTTACTGCAGCTCTACTGCTGACCAACAGAGCGAGATGTGCCCACTGGGGCAATAGTAGCAAATCAAGGGCAAGATCTGAGGCCTGCTCCTCAGAAGGAAATCCACATCCTGGACTACATCCTGGTCAAAAGCTCATGGCTGTAGAATTCATAGGTCCTAGTGCGGAAGCTACGATTATTGTTCTGCTAAAAAGAGCACAATGTGCCTATTGGCTGATGGCTCAGGCTTCTTACTGGCTAGCTCTCTCTTAATTATTAACCCATAACTACTAATCTATGTATTTCTACATGGCCTTATCATGTAGAATGCCTGGCATGTTTTATATCTTTCTGGTCTCTACATGGCGTCTCTCCCTGGCGGCCTCTCTCTGCCTCCTCTCCCCAGAGTTCTCCTTGTCTCATACTCTCACCTATCCTTCCCACCTGGCCACTGGCCAATCAGTGTTTTATTCATCAACCAATAAGAGAAACATACACACAGAAGGACATCCTCCACCATGTGCCCATCAAAGTAGCTGCTAAATGAATATGCTCATACCCTAGATTACTGCAGCCATTGCCTTTGATCAGAAAAGTTCCTCTCTACAGTGGGCAGCCGTAACTTCATGACTCATTTGTAGCCAAAGTGCTGGCCACTTGGGATGCTCAGCCATGAATAGGTCTTTTTTATCTGTCCCTCTGAGGACTGCAGAAGCTGGGGCAGGAAGAATGAAAGGGATGGAGGAAGGTGTGTGGCCAGGTGTGTTATCTTCAGAACTTGACATTGAACCCTTGATGTCACAGCAGGTGTGATTACTTGGCCTGCGGGCATCCTGCCATTTGGGGGAGAGGGACCACAGAGGTCTACAAGAGCCTATGAGCAGATAACAGTAATAGTGGGGAGGTGTTCACCCGGACCCCTGAGTATCTTAGGGGCTTAATGATGCTGAAGGTGAGAGGGACATTCTCTTCAGTGGTGAAGCCACTGGTGTCCCTGCGAACAATTCCTCACCTAAGATCCTGTAAGTAACCTGTGGGAAAACTAAGCCTCAACAGGCCTAGCAGCCAGCCTACACTGATAGTAAGAGCATGCGCAGCAGATATCTCCTGGCAGCCAGCCTGGGTCTGCCAGAGGGCCCTGACAGCAGCAGACGAGAAATGACATGGACCTATGGACAACGACCATATCACCTCAGCAGCAACGGTAACCCTAGTGATACTCTCAGAGCCCTCAAATGCTAAAAGAAAATGAAAGTAGAAAAGGGATTAAAAAGAGGATCAGCAGTAGCGGAAAGGGATAGAGGGTAGATATGGAAAACAACAAAACTAAACAACTTGTATATATGTGTGAAAATCCCCTAATGAAACCAACCCATCATGTATATAATTAACATATGCTAATAAAATTTTTGATTTAAAATGGATAAAGCCTTGTCTTGGTAAGGCTTTGAAGAAACAAATATTCTTTGAAAATTGCTTATTAATGTGTGTGTATGATGGAGAACGTGTTCACCTCAGGGGACACTTCTGTGGCATTATTTCCCAACCCTCTTTCATTTTTACATATGATCCAAGACTTGGGTCATGAGAGTCAGCCCAGAATGAACATTCTTTCTGAGGACGTATGGAGTGTATAAAAGTCACATGGGAAAGTTACATATAGATCCAATGTCCTGTATCCTAAAAGCTTGGGGCTAGAGGCATAGATTTGGGATCATTTTAAATTGGGGGATATTAACAAGTACATAAATGATATCTTAAGGATTGAGTCCAAGTGTAAACATGAAATTCCTTTGTTTCATATGTATTTTATACAAGTCACCTGAGTTTGATTTTGAATGATGTCACTTGAGAGCATGTATGGAATCTGTGGTCACATGACCCCTCAGGAAGTTTCAGGTTTTGGAGTATTTTGGATTTCAGATTAGAGACACTCAACCTGTTTATCAGAATATGAACTATACCCAAGTTTTTAATGATTTCTTTATCTGTATTTTCTATGTCTGAGTATTTTATCTATGTGTGTGTATGTGTAGCATACATGCCTGGTGCCCTTGGAGGCCAGAAGAGGTTGTAAACACTGGAACTGTAGTTAGAGATGGTTGTAAGCCATCATGTGGGTACAGAGTTGAACCCTAGAACTCTGCGAGAGCAACAAGTGCTCTTAACTACTGGGCTATCTCTCCAGACCCTGTACCTGATTTTTTGATCAGATAACCCATCTCTAAATATGGCTGGGGGGAAATATGTTAGGAAAAGGTTTTTCCTTCTCTTGATATTTATATTTTCCTTCTCTTGATATCTTATAATATTACAAACTTTGAACGCAGCCTGTCTAATAAGAGGTAATGGGTTAATTAAATGCTGATACACATGGAAGTATGTAGGTCACCAGTACAAATGACACCACTAGAGTGTGAGTTCAGCGCTATGGTCCCTTCTTATACCTGACTGCATGGGGGCAAAATCAAGTTACTGAATCCCTGCGTGACAAGATCCCAACAGGGTGAGATACCTTTATAACTAGAAAGGGTTTTTGGAGTGATGTCTAAAACATTAACAGTGATTATATTGCTAACAGTAGAAATTTAGCCTTTTGATCTTTGTATTTAACTTAGTTTTTTAAAAAAAAATCACTCTGTAATTTCTCAAAAAAATATAAAACGAGTTGAAAAGACTATGCATTTTAGAAGTCACATTCATTCTTCACTGGGCTTAAGTTTTAGTTAAATACCTTTCCCCTATCATTACTTTTTTTAAAAACCTCACAGCCATGTACTCAGGGCATAAAGAAATCCATTCTTGTGGTGATTACACCCACTTAGTGAGAACACTGTCTTGGCTCTTCCTCCGGAGAGTTTTATTATGTACTTCGGTCTTTATGGAGTTCTTTTTGTGTGGAGGTGTGCAAGGCCTTACGACATTGCTATCCAGACAAAGCAAAAAAGTAAAAGTGGTTCTCCATCTGTCCCGACTCTTGGGGGTAATCTCTGTGGTCCACACATATCCTCTCCATCTACTGTTCTACCCTCCTTTCCAAGAGGCCAACAGGAACAGCCTGCTTTTCCTTTGTGCTTATTAAGAGCTGGGAACTCTTCTAAGCCCACTGCGCGTTTCACTCATCTGACCTGTACGAGTCAGCCCTTCTATGAAGTTGATGTTGCAGTTATTATACTTTAAGGATGAAAAGCCCAAGGCATGGAGATTATTAGATAACATATCCAAAGTCTCTGAGCTAGCAAACAGCAGAGCAGGGACTGGGAGCCCAGACAGTCTGCTTTCAAGGTACCTGTGGTCTTGACGGCAACCTGTGTGCCTGCCCGCTAAGTGTGTTTCCAAACACCTCTTGTGCCTGCCTGCTTTGCTCTTCCTTTTCTTTCCTGTGCTGTCCTCTCTACTGGAAATGCTGGGAGGCTGGGGTGGTAAAGTTCACCCTGCTGGGCTTTCCTGTAGCAGGTGCTTGCTGGAGCCGCCTCTTCCCTCTTCACCTACCCACCCACCCACTCTCTTTGGCTACTTTCTGAAGTGTTTAGATTTCTTATGTTATGATACATCTTGGAAGAAAAAAAAATCAAATCTTTTCAATGTGTCTCACTTTGGGCTGAGTGACAAGACATGGACGGTCTTTCCCAGGGCCATGGGGCATCCTTAACCTCACACAGGAAGGATATCTGGGGGGAGGGTGTTCCCAACTGATGAATAAGGCTGGTCCCTTGGATAAAAGCCGTAACTTTTGTGAGGTTCTAATTTATCCTAATCATATCTAAGGTGATGTAGGCTCGTTGTAAAAATTTTGCAAAATACAAAAAAAAAAATGTAGAGGAAAAAATTAAAAGCACACATAATCTGTCCATCCTATGACAACCCCCAGTAACTATGACTTCCAACAATTTACCTAGAAGCAATTCATATCCATTCTTGAACTTCAGGTCTTCTCAGTAAATGTATAAGTGATGATTTTAGGAAATGTCTCTGCATGGAGTTTGTCCTAGGAATAATACTGTTTTACTTAAAGGCATGCCAAAAATGGTAAAATTAATGTCTCTTAATTTTCTACTGTGGTTTGATGTGGTTAAAGAAATAAAGGAATTTGGGATATTTTAAGACATTAATATGAAAACATGTAGAAAGACAGAATGAAGCTGGGTGGTGGTGGCGGCGGTGATGCATGCCCTTAATCCTCACACTCAGGAGGCAGAGGCAGGCAGATCTCTGAGTTCCAGGTCAGCCTGATCTACAGAGTGAGTTCTAGGACAACCAAAGCTACAAACAGAAACCCTGTCTCAACTCCTCCCACCCACCCCCAAAAAAACCCCAAACAATAGAATGACCTTAGTAGTTTTATTTGCCCCTTTAAAGTTAATTTTTTTCCATTTCTTTTTCCTAGCAGGAACTGCATACATACAAGCTTTCAACTCGTGTATTAATTTTTCCTAAGTAAGATAACTACCATCAACATTCAACTTTTGATAGCTGTCGTGCTGGTTGTTAGTAGTTTTTGTGTTTATTTGTGATTGAACTTTAGCAAAGTTTATTGAGGCTGTCCTGTTGTCACTCTGGGGAAAGGTCATAATGCTGACCATTATAAAAATAACAACCAAGGACACTCATGGTCTGATGAGTGTCAGGGAGACACCGTGTTAAGTTTGGTTTAAGCTGCAATGGCTTGTGCCGAGCCTTCATTTTAGAAGCTAGTGTGGAGGAAAAAGACTGTCTAATAGTAGTATCTCCCCTCTTGTGTTTCCAGGCATCTGGCCATCTGAGGAGGTTTTAGCTTACTACTGCCTCAAGCACAGGAACATGTTCAGGTAAGAGCCACACATAAAAGATATTTGTTTAGCCCATCATGGTTATTGAATCTGCGTATTAAAAAAAAAATGGCCTGTTCTACAGCCTTCAAGCTGTATACTGTTGAAAGGAAGAAAGAGGGGAAAAAAGGAAAAGTTCCCCAGGAACACATGTTGCTTCTGAAAAGGGATCTGCATTGCCTTCGGGTGCGAACACTGCACAGCAAGCTTCTTGCTGTATGTCAAAGGCTTTTGATTTTCACTCAAGGCATTTTATTTCACTTTGATTTGGGGGAAACAAAAGGGAAGGCGCAATCAATCCTTGCTGATTGTGAAGGTCAAAAAAAAAAAATTCCCCACAATAAACACATTCTGTAACTTCTGCTAGGGAAGTCACTGGCACATTTGATAGATGCCTCACAGCTATTACTTGAAGATGTTCTCATTTTAAAGGCATTTCTTGTGTCCTTGACAATATGTATAATATAAATTACTATACTAAGGAAATCAATACTCTCAGCTGTTAATATGTGTGTTATGTGTCAAACCACGGATGAGATTTAGGAAAAGGGAAAGGGGGTTCTTTTTAAAAAAATTCTGGAGATCTTTGGTACAGCCAGCAAGTGCAGGGTTTTGTTTTTCCATTTTAATTGTCATTTTATAAACATCTTATATATACTTCCTGAATAATCCATTATGTTTCATAATAAGCTGTTACTGATCATGATATGTTTTAACCATATCTTTTTACAGGATTGGGTTGATACCATTTAATTTTTGAAGGTCTGTGAGTCCATACTTACCCAACAGTCTGTGATTGCTTTGAATAACTAAATATACATTGAAATATTTCCTAATATGAATGTCCTCTTTTGCCCCCTCTCCACTTCAGTTTTGCTTCTTCTTCACCTCTTGGGATAATCAACTTCTCAGACTGGGAGGGGGAATCGATGTTAAGACTCTAAGCATATAACATCTAAAGAGGGCAGTTCTGAATCCAGGACTACAGCCTTGAAGGCTGGCGTTTCCGAATCTCGCTGTGCTTAAACTCCAGCCAGCAAGCAGTGGGCCAGGGTGAAAATGTCACACATTGAGGGCTGATATTTAGGCACAAAAGGGGAAGGTAAGTGTAGAATGGCAGACTCAGCCTTAACTCTGAGCCCAGCCTGACTTCAGCCTGGGTCTGCTGGCTTAACCACATTATGTCCCTGCATTGTTTATTTGCTTGGTTGTGCTCGGGTCAATTGTGATCTACGTGTTAATTGCTGGATGCTCTTTGTGTAATTGTGCTTTATGGGGGTGGTTTAGCCTTCCAAATTGTTTCAGCTTTTTTTTTTTTTTTTAGAATTTTAAAAACAAATTCAGGATTGCATTTATTTGTGTGTTGTATGTGACTCTAATATAAGTTCACACACACTCATATATATATATATTCTTCGTTTACTTGTCTAACTGGTTTTGAAGGCATGAATGTGGATTAACAATGTTATCCTTCCCTAACAATTATCTTTCGCTACTCTAGCTAGTTTAGTTCTAAAAGACAGCACCATTGACAAGGGGAAAAAAGGGGAACCTTCTCAGATTTTTCAGCTCAGCGGTGGTAATGTTGCAGTGAACGCTAATGAGGGAACCCCCCACTGGTTTGCCTGCTTTGTGACTTCTCTATTTCATAATTATTTTTAAAACGCAAAACGACATGAGGTAGCCCAGTCGTGTCTCCACAACTCCCTGGTAGTGTCGTTCTTACTGCAGATGGTAATTTGTTCTTGTAACATATATATGGCTCTGACCATTTTCATCTAATTTGTATGGGTTCTACCATTTCTTTCTCTCTTTCAGGGACCTTGCTGTGTGTGAGCTCGGGGGTGGCATGACATGCTTGGCTGGGCTCATGGTAGGTCTTTTCTCAATTCCAATCCCATTCAGAGGGAGGAACAAAAGGAAAAATGTTCCAGGGCCTCCAACTGCTGGGTCAGAGAACCGTCAACAGCATCAGCTGCGGTCAAGCTGCCGGGTCTTGAGAGACCTTCTAGATTGACTTACTTTCGGATCATATTGATTTTATGGTTGCCTCGATGAGCAGAAACATTTTACCTCAGTGTAGTCAATATCGCTTGTTGTGACATTCCAGGCCTCGCACAGTCTTTCTTTGCCATAGCGAAAGCTTTTTTTTTTTTCTTCAGATTATAGTCCCATTTGCTAAGATACAGGAATAGCCCCAGCGAATCACAGTTGGAGCACCATGAGATAGCTGCTAATGTTTTGCCTGCATTATTACACCAACAAACATGATCCAGAGCGCTCAGTAATTAGATTCTTTTGAATTAGATTGGCCATTCAGGAACGTCGTTCCCCATTCTCTGGGTTCTCAGTCATGTATTCGGGAGATATTATGTAGCAGCACAGTGCATTAGACAAGTTTTTATGTCTCTACAAATAAAAGCATATTGTTACACTGATTGGCATTTGACAAACCTGTCGCTCTTATACAATGTGTCGAGGTTACAGCCCAATGTGCGAGCATGTCAAAGCTCACAAAAAAATTACCCTCACAAAGCCATCTGCCTGCAATGCAAAGTTATATGAAGGGCATCAGGCAGCCAGACAGAAGCCGGCTGAAAGGCGGAGTGACAGCCTTGTATGATGGCTCTACTAGATAAACAGGAGCCCACAAATGAAAGCCTCTCAGAATGCCATCATCCGCTGTCACAATGCAATTACCGAACAGAATGATAGCAAGATAGAGGCTCCCGCAAATGGAATGATAAAAGTATTGACTGATTTGATTGAATGATTAAAATAATGCAGACATAAAATGAAAAAAGATTGAAGATTGTTACAGAGGAATAGGTGAGGAAGCATGATACTGAAGGCTTGTCACTCCTGTCTTCATTTCCACACAGACAAGCATATTTGCTCATTGTTTGCTGTACTCCCTTTTTTTTTTTTTTTTTTTTTTTTTTT